TGATATAAGAATTTTTTAAGACAATCTTTAATACAAGAATTAGAACGGAAATTCGTAAATATATCATATAAAATAAAAGAATCTTAAAATATTAAAAATAGAATTTATTTAAATTAAAAAGAGGTATTTACATATTATCATTTGATTATAAAATATCAAGATATTTATTATAAATAATCTTTTTGAGTATGGCTGTTCAGATTATAATCAAATTATTATAGTATCTAAAGATCACCATAAAATAACTTTTACAACTCCCTAAAATATTTTTAGTTTTTTAGTCATGCATTTTATGCTTTGTAATGCTCCTTTTGCTTTCCAAAGAATCATGTTCTTTATTTTTTTGGATTTGCTACACAAATCTATGAGAGTATTTATAGATGATTTTAGTATTCAATTAAATGCTAAAGATTATATAAATCATGTAGAAGAAACTTTAGAAAGATGTAAAAAATTAGAAATTGCTTCAAATTTTGACAAAATATATTTGGAAGTACAAAATAGGATCTTATTGGACTATGTGGTATTCTAAGAGAGAAGAAAACATGATCCAAAAGAAATAGAGGTTATAGCTAAAATGAAACCACCAATAAATCTTAAGGAAGTAGAAAGGGTCTTAAAATACATTAAATAGTATCAAGAATTAATTTTCAATTATGCTACAAAAAATTTATCCATTACCAACCTTAAAAAGAAGTTTGTTAAGTTTGAATGATTGAAAGAGTATTAAGAAGCCTTTGATTGAATAAAGACAATATTAAGTTGATACCTAGTATTAAAACCACCCAATTAAAATCTTTCTTTCCATATTTATTGTGATGTTTCATTCATAGTAATAGATAGTCCATTATGTCAATCAACAAAAGATAGATGTAAAGATTATCCTATAGTCTTTGCTAACAAAAAATTAAATGCAATAGAATAGAATTATAATATCATAGAAAGAGAATGCTTAGCTATGGTCTTTTTTGTGAAGAAGTTTCAACATTACTTTCTGTTAAATCCTATGGTATTTTTTGTTGATCATATGGCCATCAGATACTTAATCAATAAGGCAGATTTGAACGGTCGCATAGCTCAATAGGTATTACTATTGGGAGAATTCGATTACAAAATAGAACATAAACTCCAAAAATTACATAATCAAATCGTTTACCTTTTAAAGTTAGAAGGAAAATTAAGCCCTACTCCTATTGATAACAACTTGGTAGATAAATCTTTTTTTATCATCTTCACCTATCTTTACTTGGTACAATTACATTGCAAAAAAAAAAAAAAAAAAAAAAAAAATCAACAATTTTTTGAAAGATTAAAATTAATAACACTCATTTTCTTATTATCAAGAAATGATTGTATTATCAAAGAGTAGATGGTCTATTCAAACACTATATAGTGGCTAATAAAGTATCAACCATATTAATTGCATGATTATTCTAAACAATGTGATGTTTGCCAATATTATACAAAAAATGATTTGCATATGGTACTTCTTTTCTACATATCTTTGATTTTATTTTCTTTTAAAAAACAGAAAATTGATTATATAAGAGAAGTTCGTCCTATTTTTTCAAGAGGGATGAAATATATAAAAGTTGCAATAGAATTTTAACAAAACAGATTAAAGCAAGAAATGTCAAAATCAATGATGCTATCCATTCAATTAATTTTACATGTGAGCAAATCATCACTAGATTTGGTTGTTCTAAAATTATAATTAGTGATTGAAGTACATATGTTTTAAATAGTATGATTGAAAAGATGATCAATAAGCTTAATATAATTGTATGATGTGAGTTCCACTAATAGATTTTAATTAGTAGAAAAGTTAAAAATGAAGATTTTACTTATTTAAATATATAAAAAAAATAATATTAAATAATCTTTTTGATGATTTAAATACTTATTAGAGTTTGGAAATTTTTTTGAGGTATAAGAGTCTTATTTTTAAAAAATCGTAAAAATGGAGTATTAATAAGTCTTAGAGATAATTATTTTAGTTAGTTTAATATTTTATTTATTATTAAATATTAAGGATTAATATTAGAATCAATATTTATTTTGGCCTTTTAATAAAAATATATATATATATATATATTATTAAAAAAAACCTATAAATATTAGTCAATAGTTAAAAGAAGCATAAAAAACCTCATATCTTTTTAATTATATTAAAAATATTATTTTTAGTAGATTTAAATTTTTTCATTTACTATAAAAAATCATCAAAGTAAAAAAATTGGCTTTGATTTGATTTTAGTATTATAAAAATATTATAGGATTTTTTAGAATTTATTTAAAATATTTTAAGAATTTTTAGAGAAACTTTCAAAACTTTAAAGTTGAGTTTTTACCACCTTAAGAGATATTATGAAGAAATAGAGTTAGATTTAAAGACTATAAATTTTTCAGGCTAATTAGGTGTTTTTAAATACATAGTGAATTCAAAAATGTAAAAATATTAGTTTTACTAATGAAAAATAGGAGGACCAATAACTAGTCTAATTCTTGCAAAAAGAAAGGTGCACAATTCTCACATGGATTGTAGCACCTGGAATATAGTTAGGAGGATAAGACTAAGGCCTCATGGCTTTATATGTTTCTTATGTCATTGGAAAGATAATAAAATTAACTATTTAAATAATAATAATTATAATAATAATAATAATAATAGATAAAAATCTAGTGAAAAAAATGTGACTAAGTTTTGAAGTGTATATTTGCTTGAATACATTCATTTTACTTGTTTTGTATTTGTTCTTCTTTGTTCTTGTTAATTACTTATCTCACTTCATACCATGAATCATAAGCAACTCATAATTGAGGCCATTTTATAATTTGAGTTGAAAGGTGAATTTTACCTTCAAATATGGCTATCCTTTATCATCTACAAATTAATGGGCATATGGAAAGAGTGAACCAAATCTTAGTTAATATCCTAAAAAAAAAATAGTACAAGATTCTAAGAAAGATTGAGATACAAAATTACTAGTAGCTTTGTAGGCTTAGTATATAACCTATAAGATCACAACTAATGCTACTATTTTTGCTTAGTATATAGAATAGAAGCAATTTTCCCAATTGAGTTTGAAATCAATTCTCCTAAGATAGTAATAGATGATAGATTAACTATCCAAGAATCTTTAAGAAATAGATTAGAACAATTGGAGGGCTTTGACAAAATTTGGACTATGGCTCAACTCATAGAAACAATTTAAAGAAGGAGAAAATTTATTTTTGATTAAAAAAACATAAGAAGAGAGTCTTACAACCTCAAATGCTAATGTTGTTACAAAATGGTAAGAGAATGGATTTCCTTGTCAAATTTGATGCTCTTTGGTTAGATCCTTATCTCATGTGGGAAGTCTAAGACAACAATTCCTTGTAGTTAGAGATATTAAATGGTGAAGTATTTCCAACTATAACATTGAGAATAGATGTAAGGAGTATAGAGTGTGAAAAATTCATCACATAATAAAAAAAACAATTTACACTCTTATTACTCAAGTTGAAGATCTAACTATACAACCTAATGAAACTTGGTTTTTATCAAGAAAAAAGGACCATAAACTCAATAGAGAGACAAAAACAATTTTTTGAAAGATTTTTGGTTCCCCTACAATATTATCTCTTCTATTTACTAGGAGATGAATTAAATCCAATGTACACTTTTTAATTTTTCTCCCTTCTCTTTTATATTTTTTGCATAAAAAGCTTCAATACAATGTTCACTATTACAATAGTTTTTTTATATAAGAACAGCCATTCATATTAGATATGAACCTTAGAATTGTTGGCTTAGATTTGTTTTGTTTAAAAACCAAACAAGATCTGTTTTGAGATCCAAGCCACAAAGTTATGTGAATTTGTGAATCCAGTCAATGAAATTGGATCTCAAGTTGCAATGAAGTGCCAGTTTATTACAAGCATAGTTGGTCAAACATGATTCAAAAAGTCTTTGCATTTGCACTTCAAAAAGCTAGGAGGAGCCTTGGAGCAGCAATGTCTTAGCCAACTTGTTTCTCAATTTGAAGCAATGACATGCTAATAACCTTAGCAATTTGAAATAACAAAAGACTTATTAATAATCTCCAATAATAGTGGACCTCACTTACTCAAAAAATGGCAAATCAATCAATTTCAAGGATGTAATTCTTGGACATGTCATTACACACGATTCTGATAGATAGAATTGCAGGTGTTCTGTCAAGGACACATGCAAAATCATTGACAATTATTTTGGTAGAGGTAGACGTTAGACTTTATTTACAATAAGTCGACATATGATTAGATAGGTCAATTCAATGTTTGACGTGATTGTAAACAATTAATGCGATTACAGGATAATATTATTTTTCTCAAAAATTGTTAAATTAATTTAAGCTATACCAACCCAATATAGGCCATCTAACATGATGTTTCAATAAATAGCTTAATAATGTTTTGATTTAGTCACATCTTTAATTGAATTTTAATTTAATGCAAATTCATACAAACAATTTGGAACTGGTCACAGGTGGGATGTTGTCACCATAGAGATGTAGCAACTTAGCACCATAGAGAAGTTGACATTACAACAATTTCACATGGATGTCTAGAAATTTCTAAAAACATTCCCTGCATATGGTAGTGACAACAATATACAACCAAGAACGCTTACCCTCCACAGATGTTTGTGGTTTTATTATTTAAATCCACATCAGCCTAAATCCCTCCTGAAGGTCAGCTTTATGTTTTGAAGCCCTATAGAATTGCCAAAGAAATTACATTCTTAAGTGAAATATAAAGACGAAGGTCGATGTTGCAGTGCAATCAACACTACAACAGAACAACAAATGTACAGATCCACTCTGCTAAAACTTTCCCAAGACGACGAGGCGCTGATCTACTCCAGAAAGGGAAACAACAAAGAAACCCATTCTCAAAAACGATGCAGAATACTCCTGCACTCAATTATACACAGTGAAAAGTAGTGTCCGAGTTGAACTCTAGAGAAAAGAGCGTTCAGAAAATGGAGGTGAAGGTCGGATTGGCATTATACGATAAACAGAGCACAAGATGATGCATTAAGGTAACATCATAGCAGCTAATACCATAAAATGACTACATTTTACCGAATGCTCCGGATTCTATTACTTGATCCCTTCCTTAATCAGTCAGGCAGTCACATTTAGACTAACCAATCAGTGATACCTTTTAGGCCTTAGCACCGGGGGCGCCCTGAACGCGTGGGGGTCCGTCCTCCTGAACAGAAGAAAAATTTGCTGTTAGAATTGTACTGGCTTAGGGACACAATGTACGAAAATGCACGGTGCAGTGTTCAAATCTCAATGCCTAATTCTTTGAAGCATCAAATCCACAGCTGACCTTGCGGCGAAACCTCTGCGGGGGCTCACGGATCCTTCGTGCCTCCCGTGATCTCACACGAACGACGTGTGAATGGATAGCACAAGAAATGCAGTATTGCATCTTGGCGTACAACTTGGGGAGCACATACCCTGCAACACATAGACAATTCAGCAACAGAACTCGTCAAATGTTGCCTCCATGAAGCCCAGGAGTTGTAAATGGTAAGTCACATCCAAAACCCTGTTGTAATTTAGCCTCGTCCTTTCTAATCAGGTGGTACATAAAATGAATTTGAAGACTATTGTCTGCACTTACCATCGTATACGCAAGCTTCTTGCACATCACGGACAGCAGCCTGCTCAACAATGTTACGCACCAAAAACCGCTTCACGGCCTTGTCCTGCAAAATTCAACACCAATGATCAGCGATTCTAAATCCTAATGTGATAAAAATGGCACATACTTGAGTTTGACAGTAGTTTACGACACCTGATTCTTAACTGATCAGCCAATTACGACACATTATTGCAACGGAAGTCTAAAAACTGTTTAGGAGCACGGCAACCTTGGGGACACAGCGCCCACAGTTAGAGCACCGAATAGGGTTCACATGGCCACGGCCATGCTTGTTGCGACCTCCGCTGCGCCTCTTGACAGTCTTCATCACACAAACATAGCCCACACCCAAAGCATCAGTAACTATCGATTGGAGATACCGACAGACTACTAAATTCCAGCGAAACCCTAAATATCTTAAACATTAAGAAACCAAGAAGCCTAGTGTATTCTTAAAGCAGAAAGACAGAGCTGCACAGAGCAAGGTCCACAACCCTAAGCGTACCATATTGCGATACTCGGCAGACGCTGGCGAGGCAACGACGCGAAAGCGGGTTAGTGCTCAGCGATGAGCAAGTCAAGCAAAAGGGGCAACACGGGGGAAGTGAAAGACCCTATGTTGGGTGTTGCTGGAGATTGAGGGAGCTGCTTTGAGCCGTAGATACCGTATGGGTGTGGGCGGCTTGAAGCCGTCGGGAGGAGAGGGATTGTAACTCTAGACCCATGTCTCAGTATGTTAGGGCATTCGTGTCTGGTGATGGGGTTCGACCAAGCCCTATTCGCGGATGTAGGGTTCAGAAACATGGGCTCTTCACCGTGAGTTAAAATAGGGGTGCTGTTATGTGGAACAATCACAAGCTATAATGCTGAGTCATTTTTCAGAATTCGTGTCTGAATGCGAGTGTTGCTCACCTGAGGATTTCCAAGAAGTGCAGAGCTAACTTGAGCTAAAGTAGTGTTCTATCTTACATTAGGTGTAGTGTTTAAATGTATGTGCATTCATGCAAAACATGCATCGTTCCCCACTTTTCTAGATATTGCAACTTGTATTTGTAGTATTCAATGTCTTCACAGGCTAACATGATGGTGTGTTACACCATCACAAGCGTGGCACCGTTAGCTTTGAGCATTGTGAAACCACACAAAATCTCTACATGCCTTCCCAACAGACTGCATAGAGGAGATCAGACTAGGTGTTTCACACTCCAAGAGGTTCCCCAGGACCACCTACAGAAGCTAGAATTTGAACACATTGTGAGACTGGTTTGCAAATTTTGTGCTTACATTCGGCTGCAAAGATATGCATGTCTCGAAGCTACCTTTAAATGATATCTCAACCAGTCATGTATTAACATGTGAAGACTGCGAAGTGATGCACGATAGACCAATGATATGATGATATTGTAGACATATAACAAGAGGATACATTGCTTCTCCAAATAATAATAGGAACTACCGGGGCAGCCAACTATTGTGACCAACTCGAAAAGTCATTGGCTTTACAGCATTCATTAAACAGCATTCATTAAACATACTAACAAGCATGTAATGCACCCAGTTCGACTTCCTCCCCTATCTGACTAGGCCAGTAGAGCCTTAATTCACAACGCGAGAGATCTCACAGGAGTAACGCTCCGTAAAGAATCAGCAAAAATCTCAACCATATTTCTGTCACCAAGTAGGTTCCATACGCTGATAATTAAAGCGGAGCACACTTTCCTGCTTGGAAGAACATAACGCTCATGAAAATTTAGCTTCTCCTACTTCAGGTTCAAATAATTTCCCTCGGTGATTGAATGTCATGAAGTCCAGGTTTGCACAGAGCATTGTTACCCTGCAAGGGCAGTCACTTGTTATGATTAGCCAAGGAGTCACTGGGTACACGACTGAACAAAAGTATCATGTTTAATGAGCTCAGCATGAACTTCACTGAAGCATCTGTGCTCTGAAATACCTGTCCAAACATGTTATCGCTCATTCTCCAGTAACGAATTAAATTTGTAATACTCATAAGCAAAACACAAACCTCAGATCATCACATTCTTTTATTAGAAAAAGCAAAGGCTTCCAGGATTCCCACCTATTAGCTTCCGCGTCTGGTAATATCGGAAGAAAAGAGCCTGGTACTTTGAGAGCAGCCCATAAAAACAGAAGCAGACTTACAGCGACCTCAACGACCACCTGAAAAGTAGAACAACAAAAGACTCTAATCAGATCACACCCCGTTACTGAGAAGAATGGCAACAAATAAAACCTACACATGCAACCAAATACTTTTAAGAAAGACAAACGATTTAAAAATTCCTCTCACCTGTATCGGCGGATACGTGAAATCTTCTTCTCTGATCTTCAAAGCACTCCTATCTGCAAAAACAAAAACGAAAATAAAAATTTCTAAGAAAGAGCATGATTCAAGGTGATATTTAAACACAATGGAGGACTCATTAGCTTAACACCAGGACCCCAGATTCAATCACTGAATAATACGAAGGGACACTGATTCCCAATATGCAAGGATCGGAAACAAACCGATGGACTGAAGAGAAAAGGGATGTCAGGCTACACACATCTCATTCACATAAACCTAACCTAAACCAAAACATGAAAAGAACCAAAAATCAACAAACGAGCGAAACAAGATCTGCGCTTACATTCTATGGTAGAGACGGCACTGTGCATCAACAAGAGAGCGCCGACGACCCCGATCCCAAAGTCGACCCGTCCCATTGCTTCCCCTCCCGCGAGGAATCACTCGCACCGTTGTCAATCACGCTCGTCGGAGAAACAGAATTAGGGTTTCAGGGTCCCCACGCCTTCTTGCGCGAGAGACACAGATCCCCCCACCTCCCCCCCCCCCCCCTCCTCACCCCGTTCCTTCGATATCACCGACCAAACGTAAAAGGAGAAGGACACAGGGGATAAAGTAAACTCCCTGAAAGCTGGATCTCAAAAATATATATATGTATATTATCTCAATAAAATAATGGTATTTTCTATTAATATCGAAGTTTTCTATGTATGTAGAACTAGATAAAAAAAAGGATTAAGATCCTTGAAAAAACAATTGATTTCCATTTAAAGGGAACTTAATCTTTTATTATACAATATCGACTGTATTTTTCTTAACTTGATTTCGGTAGTCAATTTTTTTGAATCAAGTTAAGAAAAAAAATTTAAAAAAAAATTGACGACCGAAATCAAAAAAATCTAGATTTATCTTTTACTGATAAAAAAAAAAAAAAAAAAAAAAAAAAAAAAACTAGATTTATCTTTTACTGATACAAAAAAATCTAGATTTATTTTAATTATTTTTTCATTAAATACTCTCATTTTATACAGTGATTTTAATACTTGTAGAAATTCTTAAAATAATATTACTTTGATTAATGAGTTCAGATTGAAAAGTTACACGCAATCAAGAATATATTGAAAAAAAAAAAAAAAAAAAAAAATCTTGTGAATGTAATAATCAAAATATTATGTCGTAAAGATTAAATTATATATGCAAATTCTAAATAATCCTTTAAAATGGTATTTTAAAAGCAACACATCATCCAACTTAAAAGGTCTAATGCAGTTTTACTTATAATTCAGTTCTATTAAGTATTTAAAATGCACAGAATAATTCATAAAAATCTGAATTTTTTAATCAAATCTTACAAATAAATTTTGATCTTCATGCATCATATTGTGAACTTTTTACTTTCGTAAAATTTTGTAATTAGGAAGCATTTCTTTATGTTAAGTACATCATTTGTATTTATTAGAACATTAATTTATTGTTAAGAATCAATCATCAATGTGAGTTTTTTCATGTCTTATGTTGTTGATTTTGTATTTTTGTATTTAGGATGTTTTATTTTGTTTGATTTATGTGTGTAATTTTTTTAATATTAATATTTTTATTTTTATTTTTTATTTTTTAATGATTAAATTATTCTTAACAATTAATAAAATAAATTCTAATTATTTATATATTCATTTTTCTTGAGCTTTAAAATAATGACTAATAAAATTACAATAGATTTCAATCTTCATTACGTGGCAAATTACATTAAAATCATATTCAAATCCAAAGTATTTGAAGATTTAATTATAAACAACATCTATTTCTTGACTTTAATTGTGTTTTATTCATAATGACTCGGAAATGTAGTGTATGTTTTATTTGGTGTTGATTTTAATTGAAAACTATAATTTGAATGTATATATCAAAAAGCATTTTCTTTCAAAACATGGGTTTCATTGCTTACTACACAAATTTCATTATATTCTATAGGATAGATAAAAAACTTGCTAAAATAATCAACACTAGTAAAAACTACATAAGTATTAATTTCAATATTGTGTATTTAACAAAATAAATAAATAAAAGTTAAGAAAATTTATTTGTAATACTTGAGTTTAATAATATGGTAGTTTTAAAATTACAAGATAAATTATATTATACATATTTGATTATAAAAAGATAAAAAAATGAATTATATATATATATATATATATATAAGAATCTTTAAAACATATAGAAGAATAGTTTCTAGCAAAAATTATCTTCAAAGCTACAAATTGATATCCAAAAATGACCAATTATAAACCATAATCAAAACCAAATCCCAAGGCACAAAACTACATACCTATTGCAATTCTAAGGTTATTTTTTTAATCATAATAATAATAATAATAATAATAATAATAATAATAAAATAGAGAGCAAACTTGCTAGGATTTGGTTGAGTATTGATTTTGAATGATTTGGATTTAAATTAAATTTTTGAGGGCTTTTCAAAATTATAGGTGTTTAAAATAATTTGGAATTTTAAAAAATAAGAAAAAATTTGTATATTTAAAGATTTTTTGAGCATTGTAGTAGATTATTATTTTGAAAGAAATTGAATAATGCATTAGAGAGAAACAACTATTTGTAGCTTAACATTAAGATTGGAAAAAGAAATTTGAAATCCAAGTAAATTAAGAGTTTTTTATCTTAAATAATAATTTGGATTTTTTTTAAAAATATGTTTTGCTTGTTGTTAATGAATATATTTTAAAAATAGGCATATTATATAATAAAATTAACAATTCAATTAAAAATTATTAAGGTTTTAAAGTTTCTATAAGATTAGATTGAAATTGAATAGAATTTTATTAAAATTTAGTAATAATTTATTTAAAATTTACTTAAGATTTTTTAGGATTTTTTAGGATTTTTTAAAGATTTATTGATGATATATTTAGAATTTTTTTAAATATTTAGAATTTTATATAATTTTATTAAGTTTTTTTAGGATTTCTTCAAAAAAATTAATAATTTCTTTAGGATTTTTTTTAAAGGATTTTTTAAGGTTTTATATGATTTAGTATCTTTTTAATTATTTTTTTTCAATCTTTCTCTTCTATTAATCAAAGAAACTCAAAATTTTTACAAGTACACAATTTTGTGTCTTAAGGTTTGATTTTGGCTTTAATTCACAACCTACCCTCTTTACATATCAATTTCTAGTATTTTTTAGTAATTTTTTTAAATATACTATTTATTTCTATTTAAATATGCTTGTTGCATTATTTTTAATCTAATTTATATTGTGTTATTTATGGCTCTACAAAATAATTAGAAGCATTTTTTATAAAAAGGAAAAATTAATACAAAAAGTGTTTACTATCTGTCTATCTTTTACTTATGTTTTTATTAATTAATATTTTAATATATTTTTTTAATTAAGCTCTTCTATAATATAATGAATATTTTTCTCTTTCATCCAATAGCCGTGTTATAACACAACACCATCATTCTTTAATCCAAGTATTTATCTTCTAGTTTGAGTAGCTCTCTTTTGAACCATTTACTTCCTCTCAAAATTTGCACAGATTTTAGAAACTAAGTCAACTACTAGCATACAAAAAAAATATTTCAATCCAAAAAAAAAAAAAAAAAAAAATGATTAAAATTATAGAAACCCTCATCGATCTTTAAAATCCAATCTTTGAGACCTTGACTTAATTGAATCTCAATTACTTTTGATTTTACATCTAATTAAGTTAATTTCACAACACATTTAATACAACAAAATTAAAATTTCACTATTGACCTAAATGTGACATCTTTTCTATTATACAAAAAACAAAAGTTATCTAAAATAATCTTGACTTTGCAAGCTCTCACAAAGTTATTATAAACTCAAATTTCTAAAAAAATCCTATCAAAGCTATTTTTTATTTTCATCTAAAGGTGCTTGTAATACTAATTTTTCTAACCTACTTTGCTTTGTCTTTTTTATAGCCCTACAAAGTATTAGAAGTTGCTTTTTGTTTTATCTAAAGACAACATTCGTACAACATTATTTTTAATACTTTTTTATTTTTTTATCTATGTTTCTAAAGTGATTTTCTATTATATTTTAAAATAAGTTCTTCTATAGTATAATTATTTCTTTTCTCTTTCACCTAATAGCCATGTTACAACATAACAATAGTTGGCATTAAAGTGATTTAGCTACATTCATTTTTAATTGATAGTTTCTATTCTCTTCAAATTTAGTATTATTTTCTTAACTATAATATTAAGAAATTTTTAAAATTTAATACAATATTAGAAATTAGTTTTATAATTATTAAGGTTTTAAATTTGCTATAAGATTTTTTTATGATTTAATCGAGATTTACTTAGGATTTTTTAAGGTTTTTAGAAATTTGTTAGGATTTCTATAAGATGTCTTTAGAATTTCTTTAATATTTATTTATTATTTATTTAATATTTATTTAGGATTTATAAATATTTTAAAAAGATTTCTTTACAATTTCTTTGAGATTTCTTTAGGATTGAGTAGGTTTTTTGAAAGATTTTTTTTAGATTGGTTAGGATTTTTTTAGAATTTAATTAATGATTTTAAGGATTATTTCATATTTATTTGGAATTTATTAGAGTGTGATAAACCACTTTGAATGGCAAATAATTGCCTAAATAAGACAAAGTCTTCTACAATGAATGCATCATGATAAAAGGTTCAATTCATGGTTCCAATCAACACTATTATAAATTTGAAAATCATCCATCAACTTTAAAAATCAACCTAAGAATGCACTTGCATGTGTTGTGGCATCAACATGGTAGCTAAAGACATTAAATTCTCTTTCAATAACAAGGACAAAGCAATCATCTTATAGAATATTGTTATTTTATATTTTCTTATTTAAAATGGCATTGTTGTAATATTATTTAGTTGTAAGAGAAACTCTTAAGATATATCCTTAATTCTTTTGTGAGACAATGCACTTATTCAACATCTCATAAAAAAGTACAAACTATTGATTAAAATTGTGGCAACGAAATATGTATTACAATAATTATTAAAAACTAACTAGAACATGTTGTTTTATTAAGCATAGCTTCTAGTTGGTTCTTAATTTTCTTAGTTTTATCTATTTGTTGGAAATATTCATCAAGTTATGCTTATCACATCTCATACCAAAGGCAATTCTTTCTTAATAAGCTACCAACAAGACAAGAATTGTTCAAGTCTAACATATTTCTTATTAGAAGGAATGTTGCATTCTAAATAATACCATTTTTCTTAAAACACATATGTATATATATATATATATATATATATACATACATACTATGAGAAGAAATAAACTTTACTTTGTTCTATATTAACTATCAAATCCTAAATTTATTCATTTCAAATCATATCTTATATGTCCTTTATTAGTAGATATTTGTGTCTTATATTATTTAATATAGGACAAGTATAAAAATATTCTACATTAGAAGGATCCATATGTGTGTATATATATATATATATATATATATATATGTGATTAAATTATATGTTTGTAAGTAATTAACAATTGTGCTAGTATAAGTGGCTTAATATTTGATTAAACTTATAAATAAAATTTAAAGAACATATATTAGATATTAATTTAATAATACATTTCTATAATTTTTTAAAAACCAATTCTAAAAATAAAAATTATATAATGAATTTAATAATATGTGCTTTATAGTTATTTTTAAAATATATAATGATTTATCAATTTAAATTTGGATTTAAATCTTATTATTTTATCTTTGTGAACTTCATCGATTATGCAAAAAAATATATTTATATATATTTTTAGTCCAATTATATTTTTTTTCTTTTTTTTTTCTTTTTTTTTTTTTTTTTTTATCATTCTTGTATTGTATATCCAACAATGGTGGCCTTAACTTGTGTGGAAATAATATGTTAAAGCAAGGTATTGATGTATAATAATCCATAATGAAATAACAAATGATAATATAAATAATGTGAAATGTTTTCATATAAACAATCATGAAATATTATATTTTATGTCTGAATAAGAAAAACATTATTCAACACGTAATAATGCTACAATTCAATATTATCATGGTCTTTGTGACGATAGAGGTATCCATATGCACACCCTCTAAGATTTCAGCCAAGATCCCCAAGACCAATTAACCTAATCATCACAGGGAGACATCATATGTTCTACCCCTCCCAATTGATTATTTGCAAACCAGTAATTAACAGACAAACAAATGCAAATTACACTATATTAACAGATCATGAGTTCAATATTTTAAAAAATATTAATAATTTTAAAAATATATGTTCATAAAAAACGAGGTTTTAATTTAGAAAAAATAAAGTGAAATAGTCATCATTCAGTATTTGGATGCATACATTTATTTATTTATTTTTACATAATATTAAATACACACATTTACAATGGACATTGTTGTATTCTATGAATGAGAGTTGTGAAATCTTTATAATTTAAGCCAAAAAAACATACTTTTTAATATTTTCAATGTTTTTAATTTGTGTTTGTTTGTTGTTGTTGTTGAAGAATGTGAGGTATCTTTTGCAAAAGCTTGGTTACAAATTTGAGAATTCGAGTGCACTTTCGGAGAATGCCGGAAAAAACGGATCCATGCGTTGGAACACATGCCACTAGTGACGTCAGTTTCCAAAAAGAACCCCGCTCCCAAGACCGGCCCTTGGTCATAGATCTTGCGGTGCCAGGGTGGACGGTCACAGGACCCACTCAAGCGCATGCAAAGACGGGAGGAGGAGAAGGGACAACTTCCAAGCCCGAGCTCGGATGCGTCTGGCTTCGCAATCTCCCCCTCCTTCGTCGTCCTCCTCCTCCTCCTCGGATCACAGGTTGCTGGGCAATCATCGTCCCTTTTGCTGCTGCTGCTGCTGAGATTTGAGCCATGGCGTGGCTGGTGTCATCCAGCATTGGCTTTGCAGTGCTGTGTTGGTGATGCCTGTGATCTGTGTGAGAGGAGCGGAGAGCAGAGATAAAGGGGAGTGGAGTGGAGGAGGGCATCGTGGAATGGTGGCGATGATTGAAGAAGTGGGAGAAGCTCGATTGATGCAAAATGACACGATATCCCGTGAAGCATTCATGGAGCGCAAGCTCAGCAATGAAAGTTGCGCTTGTAAGAAGAGCCTCCAAGCTTAGGATCTGGGAGAGGCGGTGAATTTTGAAAATTCCTTGGGTTGAATGTGATGTGGGTTTTTGGAACATGGTGTTGAGCAGTTATGTTTGCGAGAGAAGTTAATTTGAGGGAAGGATCGGGTTTGTGTAAGTGGGGTTGAAGGTGGAATAATGGGGCAGTGAGGATTGAAGATGGGACTGGTTGAGTGTTGGTAGGGGATGGTTTTGGTTAACATGAGGTTGAATCGTTTTCCAGAAGCATTGACCTTTTTGTATGGAGCGTCGATCGTGGATCGTTGGGAAGGTAGATTATGGCAGAAGAAATGTGTAAACTACCGCATTAGTGTACTCCGCGTGAATTCAGGTACTTCATCCATTGCGTATTCAATGGGATGTCTGATAGTTTTGTGTTTCTTCACGGTATTTGTTTATCATTCACATGTATCCGATTCTAGTGACTACGAGGTTCTTGCTGGACCATGGGATGCAACGTTGGGATTATTGGGTAACTACATTATTGCTGGAAGGCGTCGCGGGCTTAGGCGGTTTTGTTCAATTATTCAAGAGTGTTTGGTGCGAGATTAGACCGTCTGTGACATTTTCTTTGTTATAGTTTTTGCAACTTAATCACAGAGTGGGTTCGAATGAGCCTGGTGATATTGTGCGGACGTTAACATGAGTTTGACTTTACTCATTCATGCTCACATGCGAACTATGATCTTCAACACAAGTGGGGAAAAAGTCGACTCGAACTGGAGTCTTAGAGATTATATTTTAGTGATAGTCCAGTACTACTCGCATGCAAGGAAATCATATGATACAATTTGAAAGCAAATCGCTTCTTGGACTTACTGATTTGTTTTAAATAGCATGCACAATTAAATGGAGCAGCAGCGTCAATGGATTGTGATTGACTAGATGTTTCTGAACGACATTCGCGAGTATAGTTTCTCTTCAAAGGTGTTGCAACTCAAGAATTCTGCCTTGATTCGACATGCAAGTCTCATTTTCAATCAATTAGGGTTTATCGTTCCATCAAATAAATGAATACATATTGTACTTGTACACGTTTGAAATTAGAGATTGAAAAGTGAATATCTGCGTCTGGCTTCGTGACATCAGAGTCGAAATTAGACGCTATTCGAAATGATTAACAGTGAGCAAACGCTTTAGATATGACGCTAAGAATGACGCCGTGAGGGCCTTTTCATCGCAGATTTCATCGGGAGGTGCTGTATCGATATATGAGCACGAAATTTGCGGAGGCACCAAGTTTGTATCAGGATCTTAGCGAACATGGAGGCTCTTCATGTAGGGGGTGGGAGACAACGGGTTACTCACTCACAGTCTTCCACCTACGCTTCGCATGCAGTATCGCTTGCACCTGCAATGGCACCAGTAACCTTGGCAGACAACGATAATGGCCTCAATATGCGTAACATCGACAGCAATTTGGGGACACTTTGTGAGCATGTGCAAGTGGAAGGATGGAAATCAAAAGCTTTCTCAGACATCGTTGTGAAGGCAATGGGGCGCACTTTCCTGCTGCACCGTTTACTACTCTCTCGGAGCTCCTTCTTCAGGTCAGGATCCGATATTTGCCGCTAACCTTAAATATTCATGCTCTGCATCTATTCATTGAGAAAGATTTTGAAGAAAAGCTACAAGCTGCTTTGTCGCCGACTTCGCTAATTATAACTATTTTTGATGCTAGTATTCATTTATCCAACAGTCTCTTTTGTGATTATATGCTTACACTGATGGGTGGTAACAGGTTGTGAAAAAATAAATTGTGGGCTAAAATAATCTGGTTTGCGGATAATTTCTTGTTTCTTTTCCTTTCAAGCTGGGAAAATTCTTTTCTGTTGTTAGTGCATATTGTACTTAGCGCATCAGAATGTTTGTTAACAAGTTAGGAGAATCTTGCATTTATATATTTATTTTGGTTGAATCCAGAAACATGCTGCAGGGTCCTTGGAGAGAGGCAGGAGCTCCCGAGGTGACGCTACAAATAGACGATGAGAACGTGAATGCGGACGCTGTTGAAACCGCTTTAGCCTATTTGTATGGACACTATCCAAAACTCGATGATACCAACGCCTTTCGAGTGCTTGCTGCTGGTTCCTTCCTCGATCTTCAGGTAACTTGATGGGAACAATCTTATTGAACCTCATTTGCCTTCAAAAGCCACAAGAATTTTTCTTCTGGTGCCTATGTGTCAACCACCTGCATACATTTATTTTAGAGAGCCATGATATCCCGCAATTGCTGTTGAGTTGCTTCCTGACATGCTTGTGAATTTTGAACTGCACTGAGTATTTATACACGTTTTGGCACAAAATCCCAACTTTTATATTTCATTGTGATTCTTGTCTTTGTAGGATTTATGCTCTCTTTGCACGAACTTCATTATTTCGGAGCTTTATACCGAGAATTTTCTCGCTTATCAGGTAAACTGCTCTTGTTCCGGCGAATGCTTCAAAAGGTCCAGTTTCATCTCTGGGAGTGATTATGTACATTCTTGGTTTGTTGTTTGCAGTGTTTTCTGGTTTGTTAAAATTCAAAAAGGCAGCCAGAGGGTTATTTATTTATTTATTTTTATTGATATCACTAACATTTGTCCGCGGAGTGGCAGGCGTTTGCCGAAAGCCAAGATTATGGAGTACACGGTGAAAGGGTTCGCAAGGCATGTTGGGGTTATCTTTGTCGTGGCGGAGCTGTTGAGCTTCGGGAGGTTAGTTTTTCCCACAACTGAGTCATGATTGCGGTTGTAATATACCCTTATGATGAAAGACGACGTTGCTCACGCCAATATTTTCTCATTGAAGTGAACGACAAATTCAAGCTATGGGTTTGTCCCTGCAGATTCTTCCGAAGCTTTCCACTCAAACCTTGAGGAAACTATTGACCTCTGATGAACTCTGGGTGCTGAGTGAAGAGAAGAGGTGCGCTATGTGCCTCTTAGTCGCTGTTTTGCACTGTGATGTAATTAGCTAAGCAAAGTGTAGCTAGATTTTGAACGAATCTGAAAATCACTGAATAAGTGATGTCCATTTAGTCAAATTTGTAAGTTTCAATTTAGTGATAAGTGTTGCAAAACTGATTCTCAGAAAAAGAAAACTTTTCCTAAACATGGTATTTTAGTGATGGCAGGTTTGAGCTTGCATCATATGTTCTGGCAGCTCGTGGTGTGGTGCTCGAGATGCCTCAGATGCCAGGCACTGAATCGAAGGGCTCGCCTATTGAAGGGAACCCTGCAACAGAGGATTTAGTTTTGTCTGTTTCATCTGCTGACAAGGATCAGAAACTTGAAGAGACTCCTGACAAAGTTGCTTCTAGGTCGGACTACCATTGAATTTTTGCACAGGAGTTTATTGCTGTGGTCTTTTTGAAAGAAAGTGTCATACTGTTTCTGCGCTTCTTTTTTCGTGATAATGTTGTACTGTCACGTGCTTTCCATGCGTCAGCTTGCATTGGGGTACAATAGTACATGTGCTGAAACCCATTAGAATTTGAGCTCAGGTTGACATCAGATGGAGAGGTGAGTCACGTGTCGGTGGAGGGTGCACAAGTCCCAACTACGAAAGAAGTTGCAAAAACTGTGCACGATATTTTGTTCGAACTCGTTGATTCAGCAGTTACCAATTTTTCTGCTGGAATTTCGTCTCCTTCAACTTCCTTGAATCTGAACTCCTGCGATTCTGCACAAGGTAATCAAGGTCTAGGAGCGCCAGTATGCATGTGTGATCATGGTTTGGAGGCTCTGAATGGAAAGCCCCTAAAGGAAGTAGATCCATCACAAGCTTTTATTGAGATACGCAAAGATGGAGAAGCTTGCACGAGTGGGGATACATGTTCTACTCCTGGCCAGTTGAATTTTTCTGGTGCTGAATCTGGGTTTTGTGGACGGTTCGGCTTTGAAGAACCTTGGAATCCCCCTCGAACCGGTGAACACGTTGGTCATGATCTTTGCTCACCATCACCAGAGACAACTTCGTCGCCGAGTAGTAAAGTACCGCAAGACCAATGGTCAAGGTAAGAGCTCTCAGCCAATCTTGTTCTGTTTTTGGCTATATCTGTTCTTTCAGACAAGATTACATTCATAGTACATATGGAAGTTAGCTTCTATTAATAGTTTCTCTTATGGCAATGGAATTTTTGTACTTCGTCCCAATTTCCGACCTATTAATGACAGTAATGAAGATAGCATCTCGCTCTCTCTCTCTCTCTCTCTCGAAGCAGTATTGAATCCTTGGCACATATTTTTGTAGCAAATTTTTCAGCACTTCAAATCATTTTTTCTATTGTATTTCTCTGCCTACTAAGTTGTGTCCGTTTGCACCAGGGATAGTGCTTGCCCAACGCCTTCATGGGGTGGGCGAGTAGTAGAGAGGAGAATGAAGAAAGCTTTTCCCAACAATGGAAATTGCGGCATTGCCGAAGATTGGGAGGCTTTCTTAGGAGTGTTCGAAGGGGGAGGTGTTCTCTATTGTCATATGACGTTCGATGATTTGCTCTATATGCGAGGGCGTTTGGAGGAGCTGGGTTTCCCATGCAAAGCAGTCGCCGATAGCTTGTGGTTACAGGTGCTGTGCTTATGATCATATGTAGCATTCACAGCACATTCTGGCGTTATTATACTTTTGAGTCTATCCTTGCTTTTGTACCAATTCTGCAGGTTAGTAGGGCAATCAATGAACTATGACTTAAAATACTTTTTGGAAATTGAAACCCAAACTAATTTCCCTAGACCTCTATGAATATTGATTTGTTGGTCTGGTGGATGCGAGGATGAACTTTTTTGTCATCTATGTACTTGCTCTTCACCTGATAATGTTTGTTATTGCAGACACACTTACGTCAGCAAGTGCTTACAATTGCTGCAGACACTTGTAGGAGTTGTAGCTTAGTGTACGCAAATTGCAGTTGCCGCCAGTTCAACCCAAGTTATGCGCATAGTAGAATATCAGGTCTGCTCTACAGAGACGACGGTCAGAGTACAGACCCTATACCCACTGGGATTTTTCCTGGAGCGGAGGGCATTGGTGGCACCTCAGGTAGTGGAATTGGTGTCAGTTCACAGTCTGCTGGTCGAGTCCATGTTCGCAACACAATAGATGGTTTAGCAGGTGTCGGTCGAGGTACAACTTTCGGAGCTCCTGGTAGTTGGCCGGCTCCTAGATTCCTCTACATTCCCACCTTAGGGGCGTATGGTGGAAGAGGAAACCCTCAGCAGAGTGGAGGTGGGAATAATCAAGCGGATGTAAGGCTTGATCTTATTGGACGCGACCTTGCCGTGGCGCATTATGCACCAGAAGGTCCCACTCAAGGAGGCACTGCTTCAGCTAGTGTTCCAAGCCCTGTTCAACCAGATCTCACCTCAAGGACTGAGGGTTCATCAGTTGCAGGAAAGCCTGCAAGTATTGATACAAGTCTGAGCAATGTGAGCATCGACAAAGATCTTGCTACAAAGGAATATGAAGCAGGTGGAGGAGGATCCATACAGTTGGATTTGAACACACCTTTGCGCAGCTTTCCCCCGTTCCGGTTTGGGTAAGTTGTTAAAACTTGAAAATGTTACTTCTAAAGTACGTTTAATTTGCTTTTGATAAATCTTGTGGACTTTAAGTATTACACTCAGTATGGATAACGGTCGGTATGAGATAACAATCCTCGAGCCTTCTTGCAGGGTTGAATTTGAAGATGTGAATCGCCTCCAAGATGGCCAGTCCAAGCATTCACCAGAAGCTTTCTATGGCGGTTCTTTGTGGAAGGTAAGAATTCGTAAAATTATTAATTTTTACCACGTGTTTTCAATTTTGAAGTACAAGGTTGTTGCACTGCAAATGATGACCTCAACACTCACTAGTAGTGTCTAAGCCAATTCGTATTTGAGTAATTTGATGTCAATTGGTGTACAAGCAGCTCATCAGGAATAGGTACTGCAAATCCTTACAATATCTTTCTATTTAGTATTGATATTCTGGTGATTTTTGTGAGAATCAGGTCAGTGTGCAAGCCTTCAATGACGAAGATCCGAGGGGGAGGCGCACACTTGGTAATCATGATTTCCCGAAACGTGCAGATCGTCATTTCTTAACCTTAAAAGGATTGACAATAGAGCACAACGGACATTTTAGACTTTTATTTTTTTCTTTTTGCGGAGGGTGGGCAACGTAGTTACTCTTGTGATGCAATTGGGTTGACTCAAAATGGAAATTCGTGGCAAAATGTACTGCTTCTTGACTAGTTTTCTGTCTAATTTTGTAGGAATCTTAATAACCTCAAAATGGCATGAGAGCAATTTTGAGAGATTTCGAGTTCAGATGTTTTACAAATTTTGATCGATAGATGTAAAGCAAGTGAAGCTTAAAAGCACATTCTAAATATTTAAGACATAGAAGATTTGTGTTTGAAGTGTAATGGCAAATGTAGAAAAATCATTTTTAACCTACAAAGTTCATAAGTAATTTTTATTTTTTTATTTTTTCTAAAATATTGAAGGAAAATATGTGGTAACAGTTTAAACAACGCATTCAAATGTTTCGTACTATATGTAAGAAGAAAAATGTCAAAACTATGTTTTGAGATCGAAATGTTGACCCTTGCAGACGTTTTTACCCAGAACTTCTGTTAGAATTACTTGAAAATTGAGGGTATTGGCGTCCCATTGATAACCTTTCGCTGTGTCGCGTCTAATTGTTGGATTTATAAAAGCGTTACACAGGCCTGTGTGTAGACCACAGATGCTCGAGAAAACTTAACCTGCTTAGAGTTCCGAGATTTTTTCGGGTCCATTTAGGGGTAACTCGAATTTGGTTGTTCCACAATGACAGTGGCAAAGATTTGCCATATTGGTTCCAGGAGTTCACAACTGAGAAATTATGTTTTTCAGGTCTTTTCCTGCATAGGCGCAAAGCAGAGGACGTGGGTCCTCACAGAAAGGTGGGCTTTTTACAGATGAGGGGATATAAAAGGTTTTCCGTTATTAAGAAAATCTTTTCAATGTTATTTACTCTCAGATGATCTCTTAGATTTTTTCTTCTGAGCTCTGATTAATCACATAGTTTGACACAATTTTGGACCCTAAATTGCCACCGAGAATAATCAAGTATGCTAGAAACACATTGTTGTAGGGAGCAAATAAATAATCTCAGTTTTTCCTCGTCAATAGAGATGATTATCCAATCACATACCCGACAACTATTTATTATGATTTATCGTACTGTCTTTAACTGCGATTGTTTTGGTGTAGGTTTCCTTCTACACCGACACCAGAGAAAAGGTGACAGCTCGGTACCAAGTAAGATTTCAACCCCGAGCACTTTAGCTCTAATCTTGTCAAAATAATGTTGTCGGAAGAAGACGAGACGGCTATGATATTCATTCAGTTTTCGTGCATTCAAGTTGTAACGAAGCAATTGATGTCTTGTAGACGATTAATTTCGTTATGTGATACATTGTTACAGTACCATATTGTGTGGAGCATGATCCAAATGAAATATATTTGTGTGGTACTAAGGCAAGTGCGGTAATAAATGTGTTATTACTTTTACTGCCTTGCAGCTGATATGTCCAGCCAAACGTGGCGTGATTCCACTTGGAAGCCTTACCCAAGCAGGGACATTGCTACCAAAGGCACCTAAAGGGTGGGGCTGGCGAACGGCTTTCTTGTTCGATGAACTACCAGAGCTTCTGCAGGGTGGTTCCCTTCGAGTGGCAGCTGTTGTACAACTTGTCTAACGTGCACCCACAAGGAGGAACAATGCTCAGAAACTCTTCTTTTCCCGCCTGGTCGAGTTCTTGAAGTGTGTTCTAAGAAAAGGAATATTGTACTGTCATGTGGGGTTCATTCCTCGTACTGTAAGAGTAGAAGATACATGTAAGATTTCAATTGCGAGTGGGCACAAAGACATTTCCTTATAATTTGAATCGAATTCTTACACTATCAAAAAACCTATTTTGTATGGGTCGATATGAGTGGAGTGAGTCACAGTAGAGTTGACCCTTATTTTGTAGATGCGAGGTTTATTTTCTTATCAATGTAACTGACTCCAAAGCTTGGACCATTGTGGTGAAACATCTCTCCTGATGAAATATTCTCTTCATTTCCAAGTCGCAAAGTCTTTGTCTGCGTAAAATACGTTTTGTCTACTCTGACCAATAGCGTCAGTTACTTTTACTCAAGGCTGCCCCCAAATTGCCTGCACGCCTGATAATCAGAACTTTTCTTCCAATAAGTTCTGATTTGTAAGCTCAAGTTTGATCCTCTCTGCTGAGACAAATTTGCTGGCTGGCTGTGACAGATAGCCACCATCACTGCAGTAACGCAACCACTCCAATGGAATTCTTGATAGTTGCAAATTTTTAATAATAGAGACGGACCCTTTGAGCTTAAAAAATTACAAATAAGATAAAATCACGTGTCTTATGTCTCTTTCATGTATATGTAAAGCGATTCGTTTGATTTACAAGACTCAACTCTATTTGAAGCAATTTAAGTGAGCCTTTGGACTCAGAAGCCCAATTTGAAAGGTTATTGTACAAAAGTTTTACAAAGGTCATATGTTTGGTAAAGAACTGTTTTTAGAAGTTTTGGTAATTGGCAATAGTCAAAATTGAGAATATGTCATAAAATGAATGAAATCATTTTTTTATTATTATTACTATAGTTCTAAATATAAAGTTGATTTCCTTGACTAGAAAGCTTACTGAGTGAGGCTTCTCAATTTCAACCAATCATTAGCATAGAAAGTTGTGGCTTCTCACCTTGGTCATTAAGTATAAAGACCTCCTAAGACAAATAAAATGCACGAACATAATGTGGACAAGGTAGAGAGAGTTTGAACTACAAAATCTAATTTTTAAATTTCAAAATCAAGTTTTACTTATTGCAATGAAGCATGGAGCTAATCTAATTCTTAAAAAGTTTAATAAAAATACATTCTAATTCAAAGACAAGAATAAAAAATTAAAATGAAATAAAATTCATCAAACCTTGTTAAGAATATTCTTTGATTAAATACATACATGATTTTAAAGACTAAGAATTAAATTATAAAAACCATTATTTAATATTTATCTAAGACAAAATACTTATTTTTTATACAATTTTTTATTTTATTCTTATTAAAGATGTTATTTCTTAGACATCTATTTTAATAGAATCTGCATGCTAAATTAAACTCTAATCCCAATTTTAATTGAAGTTGTCTCAAAATGATATATTGACAAGATTGAATAAAAATAATGTCATTGATTTTTTATTTGTTGTTGACTTCTAATTTTATTTCTTGGAAGATTTATTAATAGACAATCTTGTATTATTTAATGTACTCATATTTGGCTGAACATAAATAAGTAATAATTTTGTGACTAATTTATAACTGCAACAAACATGTTATATTTAATCTTAGAGTAAATTATACAATTTGATAATAATGGTTTAGTTCTGGTGCAGTTATGCTCAACTTGTTGAAAAGTAATTCTAACATATCAATCTTTTATATCTTATCTTTTGTTTATACTTGTAAAATTCAAAAAATAACAATGAATTTACTATGCTCCAATAATGTAATGATCAAGATATAGTAGATGGCTCCTAGACTATTGCATAAATTTAAATTTTAGCTTTAATTGCTTCAAAAGCACTATACAACAAAAAAAAATACTCTAGTATGATCAAGTTAATTGTAGCTTTTTAGATCAATTCTACCTTTGCAGAAAAAATTGAATTCATTAAATATATGCTTTGATCTTGTGAAAAAAAAAAAAAATGATAGTTAATTTTAAGATGAAAGTTTTGTATCTTCTCATATTATATTTATAAAAAAATAAATTAAATTAAACCAGAGTTTAGAGTATTATATCCACTCCAGTATTTATTGGGCCAGATTAGAGAACATATTAAATGTTGAATTGTTTTAAAAGAATTTAAGTACGTCACTAAAATTTAATTTTCTTTTGATCATTGTGTCTTATCACTGAATTAGTATACAAACACATAAATTTCTCAAAAGGCTTTATTATATAATACATGGTTTATTTTTAAAACGTGAATAAATTTATAGTATTTTTTTGATAATTCATGTTGAAAATAAGTATGAATTAATTTTTTAAAAATAATTCAAAATATATTCAAACTGAATTTAAGGTATTAACATTAAATATGATTTTATAATTCAAATACGTGTACTTTTGTATTATAATTTAGTCAGAAATAACTTTCGATAGTGTAATGTTAAAGAAAGTTGATCTTGATCCAAAAGCGTACATATTATACAGTTGAATAAAACATCAAAAGCATGCATAAAACCACCACATACTGTTTGTTTTTTAAACAAAAGTTAGGTTCTTCTTTGAATGGATTTTTGCAATGAATAAAGGATTTTGTTTTTTGGTGAAGATAAAAATAATTATTGTTAATGATATAAAAAGAAGTGTCTTTTTACATCACCAATATATACACCACCATCAAACAAAAAGTAATGTAATTTTAAATCATGATGTGATTCAATGATTTAGTGTCTTTAAGATCATGTATGAACATATATCTTTCATTTACGTATGAACATAAATGAAATATACGTATCTTGGAGAGAGAGCTGCTTTCAAATTAAAAATTATATATATATATATCAAGAATTTGATTCTTTCCAACTCATGCACATAACTTGAATCATTATGCATGTTCTTTTTCTTCTCCTTTTTTAGGAAATGCCATTAATATAAGCATTGAAAAAAAAAACAAAAAACAAAAAACAACTTTGAAATTTTAAAATTGAAAGTAGGAAGGAGACGGTAATCATGACGAATGCTAATAAATTTGATTTTTTATTTTTATTTTAAATAGAGACATACATACTTCATATATTAATTCAAGATTTGGTTTTATTAAAATAAGTTAATATTTCAAAAAAATTCAAGGCATCTTTAATAACCCTACTAGCAGCATCTATTAGATCCTAGAAGTTGCTCGGTTATTACTTTCTCCAGCCTCCATTAATCTTCGTTGGCTTAAAAGTGCCACTAATTACTTTCCGAACCAGCTCCGCATTAACTTTCCTTAAATAACTAATTCAAAAGAGATCATTAGTAGATTCAAATTGTTAAAAGTTCTTTGTTTATAAATAATTGACCACTTAGTCAACTGCAAAGGATAGATGCATTGTAATCACATGTAATGTAGTTATTTTTGATTCCTAAACTCAGCCTCTACTTCTTCTTTAATGTAACATCACAGGAATTATTGCTATTATTATTATTATTATTATTATCAACATCACTATATTTTGAGTTCATATTGTCAAGTTACATATGATAGAATTAAATAAAATTCAAATAATAACTAAAGAAATTAACAATTCATAGGTTTCTCTTAAAAGGGAAACTTCCCTATGTTACCTTGAAATGTGGCACAAAAGTGCCTTCAACAATCTGATCTCTGACCCCTCACCAAGTAAATGGGAAATAATATTAACAGTAGTAACAACAATCCATGTTTCGAAAACAGTTTCTTAAATTTTCAATTATATTTAGAAGTAACACACTTCTTACCTTCAAATTCTACCACCTTCCACACCCATTGCCAGTAGATAAAATTACAAATTCACAGCAGATAAAAAATTAAAAATAAATAAAGAAAAAGGAGAAAGTGCAACCTTGGACAAACAAGACAATTACCCATGTGTTCAACTTCACCCCACATGACAACAAGGGGCATTCAAATTGAATTATCCAAGCATCACCCACATGCATAGTAAGTACTCATATATATATATATATATATATATACATCTTTATCTGATGCCACTGGTCTTTTTCTTTTTCCCCAAGTGGAAGAGCAACACAATCAACACCATGTGCAAAGTGGGGGGTTGCAGTACACAAAGGAAAGCCACATGGGTTTACACAGAGAGACACTTGGGGACTGACTTTGAGTGGCTGTGCTCTTGATGCACAGAACTCCCCTCCCTTTGCAACAACAAAATCAGGAGTAAGTAGTTGTGGGAAAGGTACCAAGTGCACTTTGGATTCTCTGAGTGGGAACCCACATTCCATTACTCCTGTGCCAGCGATGTGGGCATTGCAGCAGCAGCAGCAACACTCCCATGTTGATGAGCTGGGGACAACAAGGAAAAGGAGATGATGAGGATGAAGATAATGAAGGAAGAAGAGGAAAAGGAATAGTGGGTAAGGAAGGAAATGGGGGTCTGCTGTGTTGCTTGGCTGCTGCAGTAGCAGTAGTACTACTACTACTACTCCACTAGGGCCCTCAGCTCTGCAGGTTGTGGTCCCTTGCAGATGCCTTGTCAGTCAGTCATCAAGGAAAGAAAGCCAGACACTTACTTCTATACACACCCCACAACTCCATCACCCTTCTCTTTAATGGCTCTATTTACCAGTCTCTGTTTTGGAGGCTTTCCTCATTATTATTATCACTTGTGCATGGTGCCTACTGGCACCACCACTACCAGAACAGCACCCTGGTGGAAGTCCATGCATGATCAAGGTTTTGATACATGGGAATCATGGTCTCCATCAGCCACTACAGGGTCACAGAAAATTTCTAAGTTTTGTGAACTTGGAATTTGTATGACCTTGGAAATTAGAGTGTGTTTGTGTATTTCCTTAAGATGTGGATTTCTTTACGGGTTGTTTGTGTTGTGTCATAGAGAGTTGTTCTGTTACTAATAATGGAGCCCAATTGTTAAAAATTAGATTTCAAAAACTTACATGTTCAAGTTTGTGTTCTAGCAAAACAGTGAAGGTAGCATTGTAGTTCCTTCACTGATCACAAGAAAGTTCCCACCAGCTTGAAACTCAATGCTTGTGAGTTGATACATGCAACCTCACTTGAGGAAGGTGTAGGAGAAAATCCCAAATCAAGAAACAATAATTTAATCAAGGAAAATTGCAGTGACAATTAATAGCTTTTACTATAGATGAGTAGTAAGTTTTCTGAAAAGAGAGGGGAATGACACTCCATGTACAAAGGGGGGCACGCAGCAGGGGGTCCCTCATCCCAGCTCAGGGTAACAATGTACTAGAGTAATTCAGTGGGACCCTTGGCAAAGCTCTGAAGTTGGGACCATCTGATAGAATCTCAATACTGTCAAATAAATGAAATTAGTAAAATAGGCCCAATATGTGAGGTTATTGCATGATTAAAAAATCTTCTCAAGAAGTAATAACCAAACATATATACATATCAAATTCAATTAGGTATTTCGTCTCTGTTATGCATTGCTAAGGATTGCAACATTTCTATTCACTATGCCAGCGTCATAGGGCTGCATACTTAAGCGCGTGCCAGGTGGAAGGATGAGAATTTGTGGAAACATCCCCAGAGACAACCTGGGAAAAGCTCAGATTGCCCATAAAATCATCTGCAGTGGGAGCTGGAGCCAGGTTGGCGCTTCCACCAGAAAACAGTTTTCTATCTGGGACCAGTTTCTCAAAACTCCAGAATGGGGCTGCTACCACCTGTCTTCTGCTGTTGGTCCAGCTTTGGGCGACACTCCCACCTGATGAAGATGGATGACGATAACATTGTGCACCTGTGCTAGCAGTGTGTAGGCTCATCCAGAATTTTGGATACAAACCCAAGCAGAGAGGAAAAGAAATCTTGATGATGCAACAGTGGTGGTTGTAAAGGTCCACCAAACCCATTCTTTCTGAAGAGCAATCAGGTTGCACAAGAGAGGATATGTATCCTCGATTTATTTCTTACAAAAAGAATTTGATGCTAGCAACTCTGTACATACAAGGGCTGGTTGGCAGTAGCTGATTTCTCAACATAGGCAACAATGGAGCAAGATAACATTACAACCTTTGCTCTTATACATGGAAGAGAGGTCACTAAAAACCTTCACTTTACAAGGAGTGGGGCTGCTATCTCAATCACATTATATATTTACCATCAATGGTGAAGAAGGAGACTGGGCAGAAAAAAAAAAATTGCATCTGAGGATAGGAAAGATGAAGAGAAAAATCGAGCAGCCGCAACAAAAAGCTGCCAGAATCGCAAGATCACAGAGCAGGTTGGGGCCTTTCAGAGAGAGAAACAATCAGGCGGATCCCCAGGCAGGGGCGCCACAGATGGATCCTACCTTGAAATGCCCTTATTTTGCTGACAAACGAAATATTCTGGATCAAATGTTTTTAAAGAATGGAGGATAATCATCTAGTGGCTAAAATGGCTGACAGCATGCTCAAGAGTTTCTTGGCTGGGGCCTAGTAACTCCTTCACCTTGTATCCATTTTTGTAGATCTTCAACGTGGGAACAAATTCGACTGACTCAGCTTTTGCCAGGTATGCATTGGTTTGAACATCCACCTTCACGCAAATAGGACAAACAACTTTCAGATAGACATATAACGAAGGACTGCTGGACAGACCTGCAAAGTATGAATGGATTGCTGCATGCACATTGCAGAACGAAAAAGTTACCTTGAGGAAGTTCACAGTGGGATTCTTTTTGCAGAGTTGCTCCACGACCGGAACTATTTGCCTGGACCGCTCACTCCACGTCGAACTAAATAGCACTACTGCGATGCCTGATTGGACCAATTCTTGAATCCTTCAGCCAACTTAAACCAAAAGGACATGTTTTGCGAAGGCATGCAAATGTAATATATCCAATGCAGACAATTCCAATTGAACATCATAAAGTCGTTGAATGAGGGAGAGAAAGCGTGCGGAGGGTTTCACAGTATATACCAGGGTGTGAGAGAGCCTCTCTTAATTGATCATTGCTGGTGATATCTTCAATTTCACCCCCGAACCACTTGGGAAGTATCCCTTCACCGTGATGTTTCCTTAAAGCCACTTGAACATCAAAATAAGATCTTGCAACTTCCGCATCCCCAGGCAACTCCCTTTTCAATATTTCATAATCGCGCAGAGCGTCTTTCCACCTCTCCAACTGCGCTCCATGAATACGCGACAGACATAAGACAGGAGCAACAGCGAAAACTTGACAAAACTGTTCACAACAGGAACAGGCGGTAAGTGCAGAAAGCTATCAGGTGAGAACTTCATTTCACGGATAAATACCTTGGAATTAGAATGACCTCGCCTAAGAAGAGCCTTCAAGTGATTAGGGTAAGCATCGAGAGCCGCATTGCAATCTTCAATAGCCTTTTCATACAGACCAAGTTTCGACCTGCAAATAATAGGTCACAAATAAATAAATCATGATCTCAAGAAAACTACATTCTGGATAAGCCTGGCTCCAAGTCTGTTAGTCTGCTAATCACGCCTACGAGAAGAGAATTTGCTGAAAGCAGGTACTTGTGATCCCGAGATTTGTACTAACCTGCATGCTGCCCTATTGCACAACAATACTGCGTTGGTGGGGTTATATTGTAAGCCTTCACCATATGCTATAGCCGCCTCCAACCACCTGTCTGCTTTGAACAAATCGTTACCAGTAGCTCGAGCAGTAGCCACGGCTCGTGCTTTTTTCAGAAGATCTGAGACTTCAGGATTATGCGGTTCAAGAAGGGCTGCCTTCTCAGCAACTGTAACTGCATCATCAAACCTGCCTAGTGACATGTTAATCTGAGCCATGACACACAGAATGTTCGTGTCAGCAGAACTGCTACTAGACTTCCTCATCAAATTCTCCCCCTTTAGAGCACCTTGTAAAACTGCATCCGCTTCCTCAGGTTTGGAAAGCTTCACCAAGGCTTCTGCTTTCAGAGCCACAATCTGCAATAGTGAACGCAAATTCTTGAGGAACAGAGTCACGAGTCATGTTCATCTGGAACAGAATATATCACACGTATGCACCAAATATTCAGCTCCAAGTTCTGATACGAAAGAGCACAGAAACCTGTGCCGACGTTCCTATGTCTTGCATGCAAAATGGACTAGAACAACTTGAATAAGGTATGCCTCAATATGCTCCCTGACCTGAGGTGCAGAATCTGCTCCAGCTGCCACGGCACCTTCGCTTTCTCTTATAACGGTGCTCCAATCAGAAGCTTTTCTAGCGTCAAAGCACTTTATCAAATGATTTTCTATTTTATCCACTTTTTGAATGTCTCCGATTTCAATGTGCTGACCGTTGGATTTTACGATCTTCTTTGCTCTCTCTATTCGACCTAATCTGCAAATTATTTAATAAGTAGGGTTAGAATCAACAGCTAATTTACGTAGTCCTGCAAATCATAATAGATCGATATCCAGTATGCAACAGATGTATCTGCATTTACAGTTGCAGGATGCACACTTTTCAAGAAATCAATTCGCATGAGTGGAGCGTTTACCTTATGCATAAGGACACAAGCCGTTGCAGGGCACGCACATACTGAGGATCCAGCTTTAATGATTCTTCGCACTCCTGATAAGCCTCCGTCAGCCGACCAAGACATATAAGCGTAGCTGCTCTATTGCTTCTGTATGAGGCACGGCCTGGAGCCAAGGAAACAGCGCGGTCATAGAGAGAGAGCGCGTCAACAAAACTCCCCTTCTTGTACTGATCATTTCCTGCATTCTTGACTTCCTCAGGATCACTACTAGCGAGCACTCGCTTTATCAACAAGCTTTCTCCAACAGCAATTATGTTTCCACGCCCAGCATCGGCTGAAGCTCTTAGCCCATCTGGCTTCACGGGGGAATAAGAGGGTTTCACTGCTGTGCCATTCGATTTTCCACCATTTTCTGTAACGCCTCCAATTGAGAGTCTCGAGTGATTAGGCCCACATATGATTCCAACAGGCGCAGGAAAACCCACATTCTGGGCTGGTTTATTTGGCACAGCGGATTTGGCATTTCCTCCTGCAACACCAACCCACAAAAACCTGTAAGGGTAAACAATCACAAGTATGAAAAGTTGAAAACAGAGACCAAGATTGTGGTCATCAACGATTGTCGTCCTTACAATAGAATCGAGGTCAGATGAACAATAGACACATGCGTCATGAGAAGGTTCTCATTTTACCTGATGTTGACAACGCTCCTACATTACACGACCCTCCGCGCAACTGTCCAATGCTGCAACTGCTGCTTCTAGAATTGGTTGTAGGGGTAGACTCCGATGGTGCTAAACCAGTAGCTTTTCCAAACAAATTCCCAGTACTGCTTGCTCTGCCCACGGTAGGACTACCCGCAACTGAGCTCCCTCTTGAGCTTCCTCCACTGGAAGAGGTGCTTGCCCTTGGACTAGGGCTGTCCACAACAGGACTGCTGCTGACTTTCAAATTAAGGACAGAGGGGCTACTACTTGACCATGAGCTTCCATCCTTGGATGAAAACCGGCCACTGTCGCTCCGACTCCAGTATGGAGAACTGTCATTACCTACTTTGGGAGTATTCCCACCAGTACTGCTTCCGCTGGAAGACATCTCTCCGCTGACGTTTCTACGAGGTTCTCCGTTGAACAACGAATCCACAGTAACAGTCCCAACATCAGACATTCGACGTCTATGCGTACCGTGGTGATCTTTGTTTAAGCTGTCATCGCTAGAGCTGCTCCTCCCATGCACTACTAGGCCTGAAGAGGCAGCACTGTTCTCGTCTCTCAAATTCGGTTGGGTAGAATTACCAGATCTGTTGGCGCCCGGCGATCCTCCGGCTAGAGGAGGAACACCACTTCCACTGCTGCGTAAAGCTTTACCTTCCGCTGTAGATACATCAACCACAGCACTGACAGGCTCATGGCTGCTACTACATGCTTTGGAACCGTTCCTCAAGGAACTTTTGGATGCATTTCCATTCCCGGCAGTTACAGTGCTCTGTCTTTGGTCTTTTTTCACATCGCTTTCATGTGGTTTTTCTTTGTAAAGAGAGCTATACGAGAAAGAATCCTCCCTTGAGAAGCTGCTGATCCGAGGCTCGTCGAGATGAGCCCCATTGAACCTAGACCATCCCTGAAAGCGGTCTATCTTCCCGGTCTGAGTAGTTCCAGACACTTTCCCATTGAGAGCTCCCCCGTGGTAAGCACTGAAACTGCTGGGGCTAAACTTTTTCTCTGTATGAATCTCCGCCATTGCGCATCTGAAGCTGGTGTGCTGATGTACCTTGTGAGACCACAGACATCAGGCGGTTCAACACCAATGATCCAATCTGTAAGCAGAAGTATTGACTGCTATGTATGTCAGCATCACCTAAGTGTCAGCACAAACGAAACAGAGGAAGTCAGCGAGGATAGCTGACGACTGACAGACTTGAAAACTGATAATCTTAAACTGAATACTTCATGGTTTGTCAAACCTCTACACATGTCGGACGCAAGGGGTCGATCAACATATGATCTGATTCCATGTTAGAAATGTTCAAGATTTCATTCGGATCCGACTCCAAATAATGATATGAATAAGCATGATGCTAAGTTGAGTAGATAAACAGATACATTTCTTAAATAAAGACTTGTCGTAGTTAAAAACTTGTCATGAGGGTAAACAGATCCTTCAATCAAGAGATAAAGCATTTAAATTGGCAGCACCAAAAATTAGCAGACTACAGCTTTGGTTATGATTCATTCATTGAGCGAGACTTATCATGGGTTTCCAACGCTCTTAGCCAACTTAGGAATCAGAGTGCTTCGTGCAGTCTTTCGCTACTCACTCTTGGTATGCACGAACTTGTTCTCTCTTACTCACTTCAAATGGACAGATTTCAGTATCGAATATTCAAATCGCTAGTGCTCCAATTCCCATGGGTATTAAGAGTTAAGAAACGAGAGGTTAGATACAAATAAATTAAGAAACAAATTACACATACGGTTCACTCGGATAATTATGAATCACTACCTAATGGACGTGTTAGCAGACTGTGGTCAGTATCAAGAAAAATGAAATGAAATCAATGGCTGAAGGAATCTTGCAGTCGAAATACTCCTGAACCCAAGCCCAAACTTTCGTAATGTTTGACAGGATTGTGAAGCAATCCGTAATTTAGAAGGAGATAAGAGACAAATCACTTAACATAGCGCAGTTCTCAACTCTACGTTTACTACATTCGTTTACTGAATAGTACAGATTAGGCGAAAGGATGGGTGAACTATACCCAGAGTGGAAGGAGTAGTCACATTAACAAGTTAACCATGATGTGGCCGAAGATTAAAACATTTCGAAAAAAAAGAAAAAAAAAAAACGAACATAAAATAAAACAAAATAACTAAACAACATGACAAAATAACGTAACAAAACACAACAAAGCAAAACAGATATAAAAACGACACTTACCACTGTCTGTGATGGCTGTTTCACTGGGCGATGCAAAGTTTCCAAAGCTCTAGAACAGAAACGACAGATATTTGCGATTCAACTATCCGACCCGTTTCGCGAATACAAATGCGCCCTATGAGATGGTAAATGTCTGCTTACGTTTCCGGTGCTAATTGCTACTGACACGAGGTTTTACAAGATGGTGATGTGCAATTCAACGAGAGGAGCAGCAACACAAAATAGCTGTGCTTCTAAACAACCGTAACGCACAGCGAACCAGGATTAACCTGCCCCATGAAACAGTCCTCCGCAAGCTTACAAATCACTTGAAGGCTTGATATGTTTTCGAGTATCGCTACTGCCGATGGCACCAGGATTGGATGCAACTTTCCACCTTTCAACATCTAAGAAGAAAGTGCTTCAGATGCGCGGTGGCTAAGAGAACGATTCGGTTCTGATAAAACGTAAGCGCAGATAGGTACGCATTCAACGCTACAGTGAATGTAGCAGATACATTGCCAGAAGGCAATGAGAGGGGGAGCAAATGTGTAGAGCTCGAGATCAATTAAATGACATTACGGCAAGCGCAGCTCGATATCCGAAAATGCACGCAGGCACATAGTTTTTCTCTCTTCTAACTGAGACACCGTATGAACCCGAACTTTTCCGCAAGCTCTAAGAGCTCCCACAACAATTTAAATCAATCCCCTGTGAAAATACCGCAACTATCCCTTCCTCTTCGTCTCTGAGAGGATCCAGAACCCGGAAGTACGCTCTATTCGTCCTGAATAGGATACAATTCCCTACAGCTCCCCCTCAGCTTCCACCTAATCGAAAATTTCAGCTAAGTGAGCCGTCATCCTCTTTCCGTGCGACTCCCTGACCGAGCTTCCTCGGTAGCCGAATTGCGCCCCATTTGCAACCTCCAAATCTTTTACGATCCCTCTCAATCCAAGCAAAAGAAGGATGCGACACTGCTACCCTGTGCTATCAACTAAACCACAGCTACACCGCTAATGCGACGAAGAAAAACTTCGAAAGACTGCAGCAGAGTGAACGCGCAGTGGTGGCGACGTAGCTGGGAAAAGTCTTGATTGAACATGGAATAGGGAGGGAGCGCACAGAAATGAGCGCATTGGATTGCAGTGAAGCTATGTAAAGAAGGGAGAAACGTGCCGGGGCAGAGCAGACCTGCTCGCCATAGCCGGAAAGGCGAGGCAGAGACAACAGCAAAAGAGGAGGGGGCACGCAGAAGCTGCCTTTGGCAAGGCAAAGGAGAGAGATTAGACTTGAGAGCCTTGGCTAGACCAGACCAGGCCAGGCCAGACCCAGTTAAAACTGGCTTAGCCTGGCATCCCTTGCATGGGAGAGGAAAATAAAAACACAATAAAAAAATATAGCAAAATCAACAAAAATATTTTAAAAAATAAAAAACAATGTAGTCCTCCCCCGGCCTATCCCAACCAACGCTATGGCCCGACTCCATCTTTCCTCGAGGTGGATGAATGAACAATCCTTCGTGTCATTTTCAGGCGCTACATTCATCGTGAATGCCCTTTTTGTGGCTGTCTGTGAGCTGGATCAAGCGAATGGATGATTGACCCCAAGTGCACTGTGCTTGGAAGTGTGTGAATGCTATTTCAAATCAGCATCGAAAGATGTGAACATCTGTCAAAACAAAGTGGTTATGTTTTTGTGTTAATTGGATGAAAATCAGCTCATGTGTTGCTGTTCAGATGGGGGAAAAGGGTGCTGAACCCACGAAAAGCGTATGCAATGCCATTCAAAGATGCCCTTTGATTGAATCTGGGGAGTTGAGATTTGAACCAACTTCCATGAGGGTGTCACACTCTGGAAGACCCACCAAGTGAGGTCGCTGAGCAAATAATTCAGTAGAAAGTGCCTGCCCCTCCCCCCCCCCCCCCCTCTCCATCACTGGGACCAGCTCCCCTTGCACCTAATGCACATGCTAAGTCTTCTTCTCCTCACTCTTCCAGGTGCAAAAAGCTAGCAAAGGCTGTCATTTAATATTCAGGTGCAGTTACCCACTTCAACAATCTCCATAAAAATACTGTTTTCTCATTTACATATAGGAACATATGGGAATTTACTTGTATGCTACTTTCCATCTGGCACTGTTGATATTAAAGTAAAAATATAGGTAAAAAAAACTAAAAAGAACACAAATCCCCGATGGAGAAAACAATTTACATGGTAGTAGTAATTCTGCCTCATCATGTTCAATTGTTCAATAATTTATTTATTTTTCCTGTGGAATGAATTCCACGCATACTCACACGAGAATTTGAGTAAATACATAGAGTTTAAAGGGGGGGGGGATGGAAACAAATGAAAGTGTTCGGTAACAACGATCATTCCGTTCTGTATAATCCAGTTGGAAGCACCATTTTTCCACTACAGTCGAGCTTCCTCTCGGACTTCTTCCCCTGTAAGGAAGTGAGAAGCTTGCTGGTGACGCCGACGAATGAACGATTAGTCTGTCTGCGGTGCCTCCTTGCACATCGTTTGTCAACCACTGTGTCTCCACTGCGAAGCAATTCCCTCCCTCCCTGCTAATAATCCTCGTTGCAGGAAGAGCACATAATGAAGGGGGAGGAGTTTAACAGTTTAGTGCCACCAAACAAGTGAGTGACTCCTATACCTTAAATGGCTTCCAAGTGGTTCCATCCAGCTCCCCCCACGAGCGGATGAAAACTTTGCACCGATAATGTCAGAGTTTTGGTGACCTGAAACTTTACACACAAACCCCAACCTTCCCCTGTATCCTGAGCTTGGCCAATACAATAGATTTGGGTTGTAGCGGAAGGAAATATTGTATTTACACTCTTCACAATTGATGCGGATGAATGATTATGTACATGATGGATGAAGTAATGGATGGACGGAGTTCACGTGAGTGGTTCCCATATGTTCCCGTCGTTCCCGAGCCAGATTCCCCTTCTCCTCGAGTCCAAAATTAACAAGACAAAGGCTTTAGCAGAATTATTCATTTCAGGTGTTCTCTGTGACCCTCACCTGGAGACCATAATTGGGAAGATAAGTTTACGGACCCAATTAAGGATACCTCTATTTAAGGGCTTCCGACAATTTCTTTTTATCTTTTTTCTTTTTCCAGCCAGCTCTGGAATAAGCTGAAGCCCTAGGGCTGCTTCCGGATGGCAGACCTGGTGACTATTTTTATCCAGGACACCCTCAGAGAGCGAGAGAAAGCCCCCAGGACTCACTCTTTTTTCGCTATTTTGTGGTCATTGCTAACCAGCTGGTGTGCATCATTGTACTCCTCCCCCTATCTCCCGCAAGGCATCTGAATGTTGTGTGCAGCTTTTGAATGAAAAGCTACAGGTTCCTCCTAAATTAACACCCCCATTAAGTTTCAAAGCTAGGTCGCACAACTGGTGTTAAACCCGTGTTGGTTAGTGATAAACCATGTTCAGGAATCATAACTGTTACATACTCAGAGAATCCTCTTTATTGTGCAAACGGATTGTTTCAAAACAAGCTGTAGTTCTAAAAAAAAAACACGTGATGCAGGAAATGAATTCGTTTCCTCATCCAAGGAAGAGATGAAAGCACGATGGGACAAGAGCAAAGCCTTGTTTTCCTTTTATCCCTTTCCCCTGCAACAGAGAGGGCAGCAAGGTGCTTTAGAACCTGCATATGGAGCAGAGTCCCTTTCAGAAGGGGAAAGAGGCATTTGGAGCCTATGGTTAGGCTTCAGCCCCCTTCATCAAGGCTGTCATGGCAATGACACCTGGACCTGTCAGATTTAATCCTAAGCTTATGAAGCAGGCCCAGACAGAGAGAGGGGGCGAGAAATTATTGAAGATCCTTTGCAAAGGTAAGGGAGCCTCTAGCAAAGGGAGGCTTGGATAAGAAGCCCTCCCCCACTCTAGAGTACAAAAAACTTGAAGTAAAAATGCATGAAATGTGGGGTTGGTGGTCTTGCCACATTGCTTTCAGAAACATGGTTGCCATCAATAATGGAGGGATGTAATATTCTCTGCTTCAAAGGAATCTATCACCCCCATATGTGGTGTGTCTAAGGATCTGCTGGTCCATTCAAATAATGTGTCACAAAAATGCCCTCTCTCTCTCTCTTGGTCCTTCCCCTTTGGAATCTCTTTAGATTTTCCCCCCTTCAAGTCCTTGTCAATTTTTTTTCTTTGGCCAAGTAAGGCATCTTGTTGCCATGCATGAAAGCAAACATTCTTTGAAACTTCTCAAGCCACCATTTTATTGGATTACCCACAGCAATGTAACAATCAGTGGAGGGCATTCAAGGAATAAACCCCGACCAACAAAAAGTCTCTGGAGTCCAAATTATCCCATCAAAACCCACAAGTGTGATCATTAAGTAGTAAACCATCTCTAAGCTTGGTTACAAGTATTGTAAAGTGCTATTGGGAAAGAGCCAAACTCCACTGCGCAAGAGTTCCAATGGGTGTTTATGGATGGAGGGCTGGCATGTTCCAGTGACAGGTGACCATACAATGGGGGGTGAAAGCAGCAGCAAGACTGCTTCTCTATCATCCCAGCCCTCATTTCTTGCATGGGAGCAGGAAAGTTAAGGCCATGCAAAGAGGTGACCATGAAAGACTGGCTTCTCTCTCTTACACACATACACAATTGAAGCATCTATCAGTTGTTGCCTCTGAAAAGAAGGAGAAGAAGAAGGAAGAGGACCCAACCTCCCCACCTCCTCCTTGTCACTTGGTTGAATGAATGAATGAATGCATGAGTGAGTGAAGTGAATGGGCTGGCTGACTGTATTGACAAGCATGGGGAATGATGGATGTATGAAAAGGGCTGGACCAAGGGGGCTTTGACTTTGAATGATCATTCACATGGGCTGGCATAACAATGGAAGTCCCCTCATGTAATACTGCTACTGCTACTTCTACTACCCCCCTCCCCCCTTCAGATATTTGCCCCCTCCACCAAGCAAACTCCTGCTGCACCCATTCATGGGCTTTCCTCCTTTGTTGACTGTCTGCCACACCCACTTCTCTGAAAGAGAGTGTGTGTGTGTGTGTGTGTGTATATATATATATATATATATGTGTGTGTGTGTGTGTGTGTATATATATATATATATATATATATGTGTGTGTGTGTGTGTGTGTGTATATATATATATATATGTGTGTGTGTGTGTATATATATATATATATATATATGTGTGTGTGTGTGTATGTAATAGACATAAGAAGTGAAAAAAACTCAATTTGAGACAGGGCAAGCAACTGTGGGATTTTTCTTTTCTTTTCATTTCATCTTGGTCCCTCAGCTGATATCCATACCTGCCAGGGGAAAGAATAATCTCCAGTTGCACAAATTGGAAAGCTAACACAGTTAGGAGAGGAAAGTGGGATTTCAAAATCTCCTGATTCTCCAGAAATGTGTATACAGAAGGGCAACAACAGTTTTCTATTTTTGTGTACAATTCAGCACATGAATTGGTCATCATAATCAGATATGTTTTGGTCCTTGTGTGTCTTGGGTACAGAGAAATCATAAGGGAGTGTAGATGATATGAGACCAAACTAGGCTCCCAATTCTTTTTCTGGTGCAGCTGTGAATGTGCCTGCTTAATATCAGGGACATTGGCTTTGGATTCTGTCTGAGTATAGGAGTGTGCTCTGTGAAAATTATTGTTTCTTTTGTATTTGTAATAACCATGTAAAATTAGAATAAATGTCTTAATCATAGTTTAGTCATTACTATTCATGTCTCTTGCAGGGTTTTCATAATGCTTTAATTGTACATAAAGTGCTCAGTTTTTACCTGCACCTTCAAGCAATAAAGAGGTTAACTCCAACAACTTCTGAGCCAATTGTTGTGTTAGAATAGAAGTACTGGATCTTGGTAGACCAAAGAAAGACTATAAAAGTAATTGAGGGTTTTGTGGATCCCTTTGAGGTATACTTAAAGCATTCATGCCATAAATGTAAGAATTGCTTCTTTCTTTTTATTTTACGTCTTCTTTTCTTCTCTGGATTTATCATCCATCCCCACATGTATGTATGTATGTATGTATGTATTATTCTTCATTCTTTATAAATCAAAATACAAGCACATAGTTTCTCAATTGAGAAACCTTCAATGCCCATGTGACAATAAAACCACAAACATAACAAACATACTGTGGTACACATTTGGATGTTGGGTGTAACAAAGGTTGCAAATAAGAACAAAACCTCCATGAATGAACAATAAATAAATAAATAAATAAATACTTACTATAAGAGTTTCAAACTCAACCATTTCTCTCTCTATATATATGCATTTTCTTGAATTGTAT